TGCAAAAGTTTCTTACCCGTTTTTTCGGGCGGGGGGGGGGAGAGACAACTCGTCCGAAGACAAGGAAAACTTCAGTGGCTGTCCCTCCGTCGCGCTTTCTGGCACGCTCATGAAACCCTTTGGCCGTGATCGTTCATGTTCTTCCCTAGGAAGAAATCCTGCTGCCCTCTTCTCCTCCGCACCGCCGCCGCCACCAGACCGGGGCTACCTAAGGACAAGAGGCCAGCCTGTGACCCAGAAACCTCTTCTGCCCGAGTTAGCCGCCCCAAGCGAGCGTCCTCGTCCCACCGAGTGCATTCGCAGTCTAGTCTCCACGGGAGCCTTGCCAGTGTCTTCTATGGGGCGGGGAAAGCACCTGTAGGCATCAGCGGCGCCGACTGAAAAACCAGGTCGCCTGACTCAAGGGAGGCCTGGGTCGCACTCGGTGTGGCCCTGAGAAAACCATACACCAGTCCACTGAGATTACTTGACACGGGGGGGGGGTGCGGCGGGGGGGGGGAAATGAGACCAGGCTAGTGGCTTCTTCGTTTTAGCCTTTGTCAAGCGGCCTGATCTGACTCACAACGGCGCCTTTGAACTGCTGACGGGCAAACGTCAAAGGGAAAACAGCGCCAGAGAGAGACATGCCATGTCGGGCTTCGGTCTGTCCCGGTGTTGGCCCTCTGAGCGGGCCAGAGGGCGAGCAGGACGCGGACGGCCCCCTCAACCGGGAGCGAATCAACAGTTCGCCCAGCCTCAAGGCTTCCGCCAAGCACGGTGACAACTCCAAAGTGGCAACACAAAGCCAAGCCGGGCGTCGCTCGCCCAGCCTCTCCACTCGCCCAGCCCTACTGAGCCAGACGCCACCGGCTGGCTAGCCCAGATTGTCCGCGACCGGGACGACTGGCAACCGCTCTCTGCCTGACCGCCGCTAGAAAAGGCAGGCAGCGGGTGGAAGTGGCGCCTTAAATGCAACCGGGAGGAGACGAAATACCCCCGTTCGCCCGGAAGTACCTCCATCTCCCCTTTCCCTCCTCCCTCCAACCTCCGCCCCCCCCCCGATTCCCTGACAATATCCGAGGGACACACATAACGATGTCAGCAAACGACAGCGGTGGGGGGGAGAAGGGGGGAAAGCCTTACCGAATCTTAACACATGCGTGGTTCCTCGGGAATATCCAATCCACAGTAAGCAAAGCAGGAGCCGAAGGGTGCCTCGGAAGAGTGGATGAGTTAGAATCGAGGAAATAATCTTCATGGTGTTTCCGATACACACCCGCGCCGCGTTCCTTTCGGCCCCCTTGCTTAAGCGTCAGCGTGTGGTGTTCGTGTTGTTGTTGTTGTTGTTGTTGTTGTTGTTTTTGAAGATGATGATAGTAGTGGTGGTGGTGGTGGTGATGTTTTTGCCCCCTTCCCCCGGTCGGGTAAAGAGCTGAAGAGCGGTAGAAGTGTTTTGGCCCTGAGTCGCGATCACGGCATGGTCACACCGAGGGAGAGAGCCTCTCCGCTTCCCAAAGCCATTAGCAATCCCTGCATGATCTTCATTCACTGCGCCAAGGAGCAACCTTCAACTGCAAGGAATGGTGGGACATCCATGGTAGTCGGGCGAGAAAGAGAGAGAGGGAGAGCGAGAGAGAGAGAGCAGGAGGAGGAGGAGAAGGCGGCGGCGGCGGCGGGTAGCGGGCCCTGAATCCTTGAGAAATCCAAACATACGCACGCATACATCTGCAGGCACGAGGGCCAGCCGGGTGAACCTAGGAGGCAGGCGGTGACGGGGGCGGGAGGAGAGAGAGAGGGAGAGGGAAAGGAGGGGAAGAAGAAGAAGAAGAAGGGGAGACAGATCAATAGGCAATCCGAGCTGGCGAAACCGCCACCGAGCGAGAGGCGGGTGCTTTCCCTGGCCGTTGGGTTCCCCTCTCTACTGCACTGCTGCACGGCGCCTGACGCTCAGCCAAGATGAAGTGCGAGCAACCGAGACAGCTCCTCTTGTCTTAAGGTTGCCAGCTCGTAAGGCGAGAGCCAAAGCAGCCTCGGTTCTCTTATGCAATCCAACCTCCTCGTCTTATCCATCCACCACCACCACCCCCTTAACGCCAACAACCTTTTGGAATTAATATGGTGGGCTTTATTTTAAGTGGGGAGAAAAGCAGAGTGGTTCCCAACAGTTGGATGTTCTTTTCCCATAAGCGCTTCGATCTGTTGGGAAAGTGATGCCTGGAAGAGGGTCTAGGATTGCTTGATCATCCAACATAGGACTCCGTCTGGGGCTCTGTCTTGTCTGTAGAGCCCGCGGATGCTGAAGGAGTGGTTGAGATCAGAAAGGGAGGGAGTGCTACAATTGCCTTAGGAGCGTCTCGGTTCAGCCCAACCGGTCTGTGCCCAGCTAGCTCCCCGTCTGTTTAGGGTCCTCTCCCAGCTGAAGCCCAAAGTCCCATCCCGGGCAACAGTCCATTCGCACCTCTAGAACCGGGCTGCGGCGAGACTGCCGGCAGCTCTCATCCGGAGCTTTAAAACTGGCTGCCGACCTGTTTCAGCCCTAGCAGTTGGGACTTGACGTGTGTGAGAGGAAGGTCCTTTCCTCGACGTTAAATTCAGACCGTGACAGCACTTCATCCACGAGTTAACGTAGTCCACGAAGACGCTGCCGTTGATGCAAAACACAGAACCCGGCCACAGGCAGGGATTCCTCTGCCCCTCGTCCCCTCCTTCCTCTTTGCACTGCTGACGTTCCTCTCGTGATCAGTTGGCTAAACAAAACACCTTGACATCAACCCGGATAAAGGCAGGAGCCAGGATGGACAGCATGAAATGCAAATTACTCAGGTGACCTTGCTTTGATACACACCTGTCTGTGAGACTGACTGGATAGCTCAGTGGTTCAGGTATCTGGCTGCGGAGCTCGAGGCTGAGAGTTCGATTCCCCCTGTGCCTCCTGGGAGAAGAGTCAGCCTGTGCGGCCTTGGACAAGCTGCACAGTCCCAGGGCACCCCCACCCCCACCCCCCGAAGAAGAGAAGAAAAGGATGATATCCGGGAATCCGCTACCTGGGAAATCCCGAAAAGAGGTCACCATCAGTCAGAATTGACTTGATGGCACGTGATTATATACTATGAAGGACTTACAGTGCCCTCCGCAAATAACAAGGAGTGAAGGAATCACGACTTAGCTTTTCCTCAAATGCCTTTCTTTTTTTACATTTAAATTTTATTTTATTGCACCCCGTCCAGTGATACCGGAATGTTTATATTTAAAATGCATACTCTTCGAAACAGAGGAATAGTGCAGCCAAAACTTACAGCGCTGCTACTGTGGAGGTGCTCCCACTCTCCCAATCTGTTTACTCCAGAGTAGTCCCTTAAAAAAAAGAGAGAGAAAGTTTCCACCAGCTTCGCTGCTGCCTAGTTTGCAGCCTTTGCTAAAAGCAGGAGACAGCTGGCGTCCATAGGGCTGCAATCATATGCACGTTTACCTGGAACTGAATTCTGAAAGGGTAGGCGTGGGATTGCTCTCTTAATGTATCATTTTCCTCAGCTCTGTGCTATAACTCCCCTTCCGCCAATACATATTTACCCAGTTGTGTCAAAGTTTACTAGGAAACACAGTTCAGACGTGTGGGGGGGGGAGGGAGGGGACGAAGGACGTTAAGAACTGGGGGGGGTCTGAACCTGTATGGGGTCATTAAGACATCCCCGCGAACTACAAATAATTCATTTGTATAATCTGGAAGAAAAGCCTTTCGTGAACCTATTAAAATACAAATAGAGGGGGAAACTGGGGATCCGGGGAGAAAGAGAATTCCTGTTATCGCCATAAGAAACTGGCGCTTAGTCTGCTGACTGGGAACAACACACACCCCTCACGCCCTCTTAACCCAACAGAAAGTTTAAAAGCATTTTCTAAACCAAGACAGCCAACAGGAGCACACCTGTACCTGCGGACTGAATGGACTGTCTGTGCGCTTTGAGTCTAGGACGAAAGGTAGCCGGGAGAGAATTGTGGTTTTAAAAAAGAAACCCTTCTTCCCGGCTGTATTACTCAGAGATACATCAGCGGGACTTATAATGCTTCTCTAAGTAAGTACGACCAGGACGGCAGCTTTAATGCGCTGGCTTTAATTTTGAACATTTAGTGCCATGCATTGGGATCCATGACTGTTAGAAGCTTGGGGGTTCTCAGATTAACTTTATAGGGTCACAGTACTCTCCTGCACAGGCTGACTTCGAAACGCCTGCAAACTGAAATTTACCACTAACTAACTGAACATCGCCTCGGATTTTTTTCAACTATTATTAATTTTTGGCTTCCTGTTTGTTTGTTTTTTTAACTGGGAGGGGGGCTTTTGACAAAAACAAAACAACCTTCCGAACCTAACCACAGCGTGAAAACTAAGTATCATGAATTGCTATTTCTGCAGTCCAGCAGGCAATTCAATCAAACGATCTGCCTACTGGAGCCCTTGAGAGGCGGGGAGAGGGAAGGAGAGGAGCACCTAACGCTGAAAACAAGGATATCTAGCGACTCCTTCAGTACAGAGCTGAAATACCTCACAGGGAAACGTGCGGCTTGAAATCTCCTGTTTCCTGAATTGGGTGGTGGTTTCCACGGGCCTCCCCTGGACCGAGACGAAGCAAGTGAAGCGAGGTGAAATCCAGGTTCTTGAGAGTATTAAAGCAATTCCTAATATCCTGGAGTACTAATACAAGACAGACCAGCTGTCTATAGATATATGACTGGAAAAAAACTGTCCGTGTTTAATATATATACTTTTCCCAAGGCTGTGTAGCATAATTTACATTATAATCTTTGGCACAGATAAGAAGAGCCACCGCTGCTTTTGCAGGTGGAGGCATTCTGGTGTTAATTTGGGAGTCATATTTCCAATCCTTTCATCCACCCAATTATCTGCTTCTTACCACATCGTTCTTACCCAACAAGTGAAACGTGGAAAGAAGATGCATTTTTTAATATGAAATGCAATATTTTTTTGGCTTCTCAATATGGTGCGATGCTTACAAGCTAGAAATGTATCCACACCACCACGGACAGCAACCGAATTTTGTACTGCCTTACTTTAATGGAATGGTCGCTCTCCTTTTCAGCACCACGGGGAGCAGCACACACTCAAATGTATCAGACATCATTTGAATATGTATATTAAAAATACATTAACACTCCCAAGGTTTCCGAATACAGAGGGATACTTTTTTGTTAAAAAAAAAAATCTCCTCTAACTATTTAGCTCTTCTAATGTGAGTATGCTCCCCTTCTCTGTTCCAGTTATCATGCAGATTGCTTTGTTTTCCATATATTGGACAAATTCTTTTTCTTCACTGTTCTATAGGGAAACATGTGCTTCCACCCGCCTCTCCAAGACCTCGAATTTCCCTTGCAGAACTCTGTCACCCTGTGTGTCTTAAAGGCAGTTAATGGTTAGACCATAGAGAAAATGCAACCCATCACGTTGGGTTTACTGTCCACATCTCATTAATGTTAATGCTTAATGGCTGGTTGATTGTAATTGTGATAATCTGTCCCACTGGACTCAGCTCTTCTCTGAAATATATAATCAATTTTGGTTTTAGAACTATTGTCCTAATTGTTAACTATGCCATCTGCTACAAGCGGCTAGAGTTGAAGTTTCAATCTTTCTTAAAAAGCCCTTACTATTAAAATATTTTTTGATTTATTTATTTATTTATTTTATTTTAAGCACCGGAAATGCCAGTTATCTTCTAGCATTTGCTCATCACTGTTCCAAATCTTTTAAAAAGCCCTTACTATTAAAATAATTTTTGATTTATTTTTTTATTTTATTTTAAGCACCAGAAATGCCAGTTATCTCCTAGCATTTGCTCATCACTGTTCCAAATCTTTTTTAAAAGCCTTGAATTTATGACATTCAACTGAAGGAGCTAACCTTTCTGGTTAGAGCTGGCCTGTGATCCTTCTGCTTTCTGATACAGGTCCCTGAAATGGATTCTGCTGTGACACCACCCTTCCCCATCAGTGACTTGTGAGGAGGGGGAAGGGCAGCTTTTAATACTCTTATCCTGTTGTGTCTGTCTTCTGATTTGCTCTCCCTCTCAACCATATAGTGTCTAGCAAGAATACCCCTTCGCTATCCAAGGTCACAATGCAGGTGAAGTGGTAATGAAAATACACCTATCAAGTGCGAAGACTAGCCTAGGAATACCATGGAGCCAATCAAAAGAAGGCCTGGCTGAAGAAAGAAGGCTGGTTGGTTATGCTCCTTCATGAATAAGGATCGACTGCCTTGATGAAGAATAAGTTTGGAGACAGTCACTGATCAAAGCTTTCCCATCAGCAGTTCTCCTTGTCCTAAAATTAAGGCCTGGTGAAGCTTACTTTCCATCTTTAGGTCAAAGTAGAAAGGGGTTGTGACATAAGCCTTGCAATGCTTAATTTTCTAGATGGTTTTCTCTTTGGGCACACACATGGGAAGAGGGAGTAAGCTGTGTTACTTTGTGGTAACAAAAACCAAAAGATTCTTAAGGCACTTTAAGGACTAACAATTTTAATTTTGGATAAGCCAAATAAATCTTGTAATCTTCAAAAACTTCGGGTTTTTTTTTACTTTTTTTACTTATTTGACAAGTGCTGAATTAAGAATTGCCTTGCACATGTGCATGCAGGCGTGCAGATGTACACACAGAGCCCTCTAAAAAAGAGACTTTTTAGCTTTTCTTGTTGCTCTTATTCTGAGCTCTGTTGTAAAGAAATCCAAACAGCTCCTTCTGCTACCACAGATCACCCTCTCCTTCAGAAGGTGTGGGTATGTGTATGTAATAGACACACATACCCTGTTTCCCTGAAAATAAGACCTAACCTGAAAATAAACCCTAGTATGATTTTTCAGGATAGTTGTAATATAAGTCCTACCCCCCCAAAAGTCCTAATTAAGTGAAATCCTGCCCTCTACCACTGTAGAGCAACCAGAAGATGATATGACTGTATTTGAATAAATGTAGATTGTTGTACATGAAAAAAAAGTAAAACATCCCCTGAAAACAAGCCCTACAGCGTTTTCTGGAGCAAAAATTAATATAAGACCCTGTTTCTGGAAAACATGGTACTTGCACTTCTGCTGATCTATACTGATCAACTAAGCTAGGCCTCTTGGAGGGCTCGCCCTATGTCCCCTGCCTTTGTCAAAATACTCCAGTGAATGTTGATGGGAATCTCTCTTTTTTTAAAAAAAATTAAAAATTAAAATATAGCAACCGTTGCGTCCCCCTCCTTCTCCCCGCCCACAACCTAAAAAAAGGCGATCTGTTCTCTACCTGTAAGAGCCCGGATACACAGTCCTCTCTCTGCTGTGCCCAGTGATTAATGGCAATTTAAGATGGTAATTAATTTTTTAGCCGCCTAAGAGACGTGCATCCTAATTAAGGAGCCGAGGATATGATAGATTTACTTGTTCAGCCACTTTTTCGACTCCTCCGAGGTGCTGTTCTTCGCATATTTTTAACCAGCCAAAGCAAACATTTATGATTTCACCCATATATCACCTTTACCCCATCGCCACTTCCTCTTGAGAGATGCAGAAACAGATGTAGACAGAGAGATAGTCGCTTGAGTTTGTCTTCGTCCCATACTTCTCACAAGTTCTTGTTTGTTTGTTTGCTTGCTTAAATTGTACTACACTTTGATTTATTTTACGACTTTGACTCTGTTTCTACACTCCGTTACTAGTTACATCAAAGCAGATAACCAGTTTCTAAGGGAGAGCAGTTTTCTTCTTTCTTTCAGGGAACCGGCCGTTGCATTTTTAAAGGGCACTGTGATCCAGTAGAGCGAGTTTTGCTGGTTTATCGCCCCACTTGTTCAGCTACACAGATCATAGACAGCAGGACGGAGAATATAACGGAAACTCACCCGTGGACCGTCCTGACGAGAAGCCCGATTTGCAAATGAATTAAAAGGAGGAGGCCTGGCTTTAAGCCAGCTAAGCACGGCTTGGCAGGTGTACAGCCTGGACCAGCAGAAGTGCCTGGATTTAAACCGGCTGAGACCGACCGTTTTTCTCAATCCAAGGACTTCGCTGTTTCTGCGTCGTCGGTCGGACTGCGAATCGGTTTCAATTGGAGTGCTTTGGCATAGTTGGTTTAGGGATCGGGCGGGTGGGAGTGATTCGGCGCTTCTGTTTCTGACGCACAAAGCTTGCAATCCACATACTTCAGAGTAGTGCCGTTGAAAGCAGCGCGTCTCTTGAGAAGTCCCATGCGGTTATGGACTGCACAACCCACGGGTGCAACTCCCATGAATTGGCGATCCACTGAAATTCTTGGCACTGAGAATTACAAACGGATCTATGGCAAGTCAACTGGGCGATTAGATGCGCTACACTGACCTTCCCTCCCTCCCTTTCCCTATTTTCCTTCCTTCCTTCCTTCCTTCCTTCCTTCCTTCCTTCCTTCCTTCCTTCCTTCCTTCCTTCCTTCCTTCCTTCCTTCCTTCCTTCCTTCCTTCCTTCCTTCCTTCCTTCCTTCCTTCCTTCCTTCCTTCCTTCCTTCCTTCCTTCCTTCCTTCCTTCCTTCCTTCCTTCCTTCCTTCCTTTCCTCTCTCTCTCTCTCTCTCTCTCTCTCACACACACACACACACACACACACACACAAACGGTTGCTATGACGAAGAAAGCATTCGGATAAGAGAGGACGCGGGAAAAACGCAAAGGAGGCGACCACACGCCCAAGTCCTGTCTGAAAACGTCGCAGGCTCTCCTCCAAAGCTCAAACTGGAGCAGGGGGGGGGAGCTTCCAGCATCTCGAAGCGCAGCGGGAAGCTTGGAGGATTCCCCGGGTCTCTCCCGTCGGAGGACCCATTAGAGGAGAGGAGGTGGAGGGCGAAATCTTCTCAGTAGCAACCCAAGTGTCGGATTAGAGTTGGCTTGATGGATGGATGGGTGGAGAGACAGATAGGTGGGAAAGAGGAAAGGCAAAGTTCCTGCTTAGTCCCTGTCGTATTCCCCTCGAAGGAAAAGTCTTGCCAATTCTAGTTAAACTTAATGTCAAGTAAATGCGGCTTAGCTTTGCTGGAAGGAGGAAACTGTGGAGGTGCAAGACACAGACCGAGAGATGAAAGCTGTGGGAGCTGGAACAGACCTGAATCGGAGAGAGACAGACGCTTCCTCTGTCGGAGTTTGGCTAGCCCCGGCTCTCTTCCTGCCTGCCTGCCTGTCTAAACCTGGGCAGCGCCTCTCAATCACAGCAAGAGATGCCCAAGTGTCTGGAGGAGCGATCCATCCATCCACCCCACCGTTTTGAGGGCGTTTGGCCTTCTACCCCGTCCCTCCCTCTCTGCCTTCCCTGGTAGTTTATGCCAAGAAATACCGATGGAAACTCTCTCTCTCTCCCTCCTGTCCCCCACTCCTCGCCCCCCTGCCCTCCGTCCCGAAGCGATTTAGGCAAAGGAGCAGCGGCAGCCTGTTGTACATCCCAGGCCAGGTTACGGAGGTCTTGGCTTACCTTGGTCCGCTGCTTTGAACCGAGGGGCCCAGGGCGAGGAGGGGGGAGGCTTTTCCCCAAGAAAGTGGCGGAGCTGCCGTTGGACTGGGGTCTGGGCTACGGAGCGGAGGCAGCGCGCCCAGCTCAATGGAAAGCGGCGGCGGCGGCGGCAGGAGGATAGCAGCCAAGCGGAGGCAGGCGAGCGAGAGAGCGAGCGAGGAAGAGACACGCCCACTTCCGGGAGTTCAGCGCAGAGAACCTTAAAGATACAGCGCCGCTTTTCCTGTCGGCGGTCTCGGAATCCAGAACCCCGAATACATGCCACAGGACCGAGCAGGGAAGAAGGCGCACATCCACATCCCCACTGGTCGTGGAGACCGGTTCTGCGTCCAGCCCGGGAGAAATCGGACCCTGTTTTCTTGATACCCGCCGCGGACCAGATCCACCTCCCTTGTGTCTCTTAAAAAGGCTTCCGGACCCTCCTTGTTCACACTTCACGGATTTCTGCTCCGATCCATCCACTGGCTCGCCAGAAGCCCACGGCTTCTGTTTACCTAAAATTCGGCACTCAGCGATGAATCGGGGAAGATGTGGGGTCTCTGGGCACCTGCCGCGCGTGTTTTCCTCACCGAGGCAAGTAATCATCGACGGCACGCCTCTGAGATTATCCAAGATGCGTCTTCCAGATAACTTGGGCGATGAAACTGGGACGGGGACTCTGAAACTCAGTGGGACTGAGTGCCTTTACTTGCAGTAACTGGGTACAATGGGGTGTGGAGTGATCGGGCGACGCCTATCTCGCCGCCCCAGCTTCTCACGCCGCAGAATAAAAGATTCGACCCCCCCTCCCCTCCCCACGCCAAAAAAGCACACCACAACACCGTATGGCCGAAGCACACGTTTTTTGCACCTTGATTGAGTGAATGGGGAATAACTGTGCAACAGTACCCGATGTGACCTAATTAAAACAAAAAAGAAAAAAGAAAGAAACAACAACAACAACATGGAAACGCAGTCCTTTCCCCCATGCCCATCACCAAATGATCCTAAGAATGAAACGGAAGCTAAAAGGAGGCAGTGTGAATAACGATTCCCTGCTCAGTCGGTTCCTGAGAGGATGGACGGCAACTCTTTTGATTTCCATTCAAAGCCTCTCCGCTGCGGCCGAGGCAGTAGGTGAAAAACCAGGAGGCAGCAGCCGTCGGGGGCCCCCCCTTTTGCCGGTCAGCCAAGAATAAAAGGGCGAGTGGCGCTTTTACTGCTGACCAGGCGAGAGGTTGCCCTCTCCATCTGAGCATGGAGGGGTTCGAAGGGCTCTTTACTGTGACAGGCTGGAGGGCTCCGGGCAGGCGCCACTACATCGATTGTCTAACGATCTATAGGCGAGGGCCGTTCCTCCTCTCACAAGAGCGTGTGCAGAGCGTCTCCCCACTAGCCAACTGCCCACAACCAACATTCACAAAATGCGAAGAAGACGTCTGGGCCTGACGCTGCGAATTCCAGGAGGCTCCTGGTTCCAAGAGGCGGTCGCCTTCAGGACCGCTTCTCCCAACTATCCAGCCTTGAGGTTTCCCTTCCATTTCAAAAGGCCGCCCGTCACAACAATCCCACTTCTCTCTTTCCCCCCCCCCCCAACCCGGTGTGCCCGCGGCGGCAGCACAAGCCTCGCCGGCAGGCCGTTCTTCCCTCGCTTTTTCCCCGCTGCCCCTCCCCCGCTTGCCAGCTCGAGACGGGCATTCCCCCCACCCAGGGATCCCCCCTTGGCTTTCCTAACTCCCTTCTGATTGGACGGATAAGAGGTGGCCCGCCTTCAGACATCCCGGGGAATGCTCGGGCACACGGAGGCTTCTCCTCTCTCAGGTGAGGCTGGCGAGGAGCCGCAGCAGCGTCGCCGCCGCCGCCGCCTCTACGTGCCGCCTCTGGGCCTGTCAGAGACCTTGGTCGCCGGAGGGCTTCCCGTCGGCCTCCAAGAGACGTGGGCTCCCTCCCTAGCGGAGCTCTGGGGGTGAGGTGAGCCGCTTAAAGGAGCGGCAAAGGGATAGCCCCAACGGGCTCCGAGACTTCGCCTTTGCGAGCTCTCCGCTGAAAGAGCCCCTGTGTGACCGAGGAAACAGCAGCCTTGTTGTGCGGCGTCGATAAATAGTCAATGAAGTCATTGTGAGGCAAGGAAAAAAAATTAAAATAAAATGGCAGAGCCCCCGCGCGCTCATAGCTTCGGGGCTCGGCCCTCGGGCTGCGACTACGACTGCCGTCCTGGGCCTCCCAGCCAGCAGAGACTGGCGGCGGCCTGACCATAACCAGCAGCAAAGCCCTTAGGCCGATCTACCCCCCCCCCGGGCAAGGGCATCCAACCCAGTTGTAAAGCCAGGACTTCAGTCGCCCCATTTTTCCCCCTCGCACACGACTTGACGCTGCTTCTCCTCTGTGAACTAGGGGAAAGTATCACTGTGGCACAAATAAGCGAAAAGCCTCCTACCACCGCCCCGCCGAAGCCCTCTTTTTGCTCGACAGACTGACAGGGACAACCCCTCGAGAAGCAGAATGCTGTGGCCTGGATGCGCCCTGCTCTTGAAAGACTATGGGGGCAAATGCCCCTCCTTCGATGCCAAGGCACAGTTCAGCAGCCCTGAACTGCCTAAAATGGACGCCGCTGCTCCTTCCCTATCTACGCCCGTTCCTTTTCACTGTAGGTAAGGAACGGGCTAGGTGGCCTTATCTGGAGTCTAGCATTATCTGAGGGTGTGGCAGCTCCTCGTGGGCCTCTTTAGTTGCAGCTGAGGGAACAGAGACTAGAGCAGCTGCCTAGCGGAGGCCTCCTGAAAAATGCAGCCAGTTGGTCCTCATTCTATTTTCACAGACATGGGAGGAGAAAGTGTTCAGTCTTGGGAGTTAGTTATGGCGGCAGGATGGCCATTTACAGCGCTGCTTCTGGCAGCAAAATATTTCACACCAGTTCTGTTTCTAATTAACGTGAAATTGGCTGCATAATCCACCAGAATGACTCGGACACATATTTATCTCCCCCATGGTTATTGTGGAATCTTGCTGACCCCCCCCTTTCCCCCCTAAATGCCAGATGAAATGTTGCACCAGAGATCCCAAGGTGACTCTGCCCATGTGCATGTGATGCTGACCATGGATATTTCAATTCTAGGCACAAGGAATGGTGCCAAAGGCCACACTGGCTGCAGTTGCGCTTCCGCCATGCAAAATGTTGAAGCTCAAGGTCGTATTCTCACATTCACAGGCTTGCTTCCACCTGACCCTGATACTTTATTTAGTATTTATAAAATTAACTTTACTGAGTGAGATCTGGGAAGCCAGATGAAATCCCCTTTTTAGAAAGGGTCATAAATGATGCAGTACAAATTGTACTCCTTTCCTTTCCTCTTTTGTATGTGTTTTTAAAATATTAGAATTAATATTCATTCATAATCTGAAAGATACAAGGAATTGAGTGTGCTGAATAATTTACTTTAAGTGACCTAAAGGGATTAACACTAATGATGAGGAACTACAGGGCATCCCGCACAAGTCAAAAGATGATTTTAATTTCCCATTCCAGTGATAGAGCAGAAATCCATGTTTGCTTTTTTTGTTTCATAGAATATTCTTTACATCTGTACTTTTACCTTCTCTCTTGTGGGCAATTGCTTTCTACTAATGCAACCTCAGATAATTAGATTCACCAACAGGACTGATGAGACTGAAACTAATTCTGAAGCCCTGTTATTTTCTCACCCTCTCAGATTATAACTCTGAGATCAGAGTTCGCTTTCAAAAAGGAAAAGAATAGGTAAGTAGGGCGGGGAGAATCACCTAACCTCTGGGCTAGGAGTTTTAAAAGTCAAGAAAAAAGCTACAGTCTGATGTTGGAAGCTACCTAGTAGCAATAACCTCGATTGAGACTTAGTCATACTTAGTATAGACTCACTGAAATAAATTGTTAATCAAGAAGTTCCTTTGGGTAAGTCCTATTATTAGTTCCTATTAAAGTACACCCATTACATAAATGAAAATTATATTTAAGTGTTAACTCACCCTGTTCCCAACTGATTCAAGTGAGTCTACTCTAGTTGGGGCTAACAATTGGATTTAGGCCACTAATTACAATGGTTAACTCTATATAGAGCCAATAATTTGCTAACATGTGCCTTATCTTATATCATTTGATTATTGAACTCAGATATCATCCAATAGAATTCAAACTATTTTAAGACTCTGAAGTGCATATGTACCCTATGGTCCAAGCTGGAGTGGGGGGCTTACTTCCAAATCCAGGATGGACCACAGATCACCATCACAATGGGTTAAAGGTATGGGGAATATTTTGGAAATCCCCAGGCAAAAGCATCAGAAGTGCTTCAAGCAGAAATAAAGTCGTAATGCTAGAAACAGATTGCTAGCTTGCTAAAATAAACTTTGATTTAGCATTAGTATTTACAAGGTAATTTCAAAGACAATTCAGCACCTAGTCTAAGTATGTGGGATGTGGTGGTGCTGTGGGCTAAACCGCAGAAGCCTTTGTGTGCTGCAGGGTCAGAAGACCAGCAGTCGTTAAGATCGAATCCACGCAACAGAGTGAGCTCCCATCGCTTTGTCCCAGCTCCTTGCCAACCTATCAGTTTGAAAGCATGCAAATGCAAGTAGATAAATAGGTACTACCTTAGTGGGAAAGTAAAACGGCGTTCCCTAGTCACACTGGCCACGTGGCAATGGAAACTGTCTTCGGACAAGCGCTGGCTCTACTGCTTGAAAACGGGATGAGCACCGCCCCCTAGAGTTAGACACGACTGGGCTAAAAATGTCAAGGGGAACCTTTACCTTCACTTTTAAGCAGACTTTGCCTTTGGTGTTGGCCTAGTTGCAGTTTGGAGAATAACCAAAGTCTTACACCAGACAGAGAATACAGCCCATTATCTGGACTGATAGTAACAAAACAAAAAGCATCTAAGGTAACTCACTGTACCTAAGTCATATGTGAGGAGTCTGAATGTGAGGGGTTCCCATTTTGGGCAAAAGAATAGCTGGGCTAGGAAGATGTCCATGTAATAGTACACAGACAATTTAGCATGATGAAATTTCCACAGATTTAGGCTATCTAGGATAGTGCCTAAACTGAATGCACAAAGTAAAGAATACAATGGTG